ATGACCTATGGTTCAACAGGGCTGGTTGTTCAGTGCTTGGTCGGGCCAGCAACACAGAAATTTACAGACCTATGGAGAACCACAGCAAGGTGAGATGATGCTTTTGGATTTTAAAAAAATGGATGAAAAAATGTGCAAATAAACATTGTCTTTTATCTTAAACTTCAGGGATATAATTTTCTCCAACAACAAGTGATAATCATAATCTCAGAGATGATGCAGCCTATCTTAGAATGAAGCTGAGACAATCCTGTTTTCCTTTCAGTGCTATGAGGTGCCTGGAGTGAAGATCCTGACTTACAACGGGCCTATTTACTATGGCAACCGTAGCTTCTTCAGGGAGGAGATGAGCAGGCTGTTGGGCCTGACGCCAGAGAAGATCCGCAGCCGGGAGAAGGACAGGAAAACCCTGGAGAAACGCGAGAGAGAGGCCACCGTCAACACCGTGGTATGGCTGCTGCAATCATTGAGTTAGAATATACAGTTCACACTGTGTAATTTTAGCATCTTATTGTTTTTCCTCCCTCCATTGTTCTTTAGGAAAGAGTCATTGCAAACACGTCATTTTCTTCAGAAAATGAGTTCTTTAAATCAGGTAAGTAATGAAAACTTTTTGGTGGCTCTGTGTGGACAATACTAAATATGCATATAGTTTCCTAAACAAAACCTATAGATATTCTCATTTTAAATCAGGAGACAACAGTAATTTGGCCATTACAAATGACATTTTTCTAGATTGCTCTATTTACATTTTATTTCTAGACATGTGCCGCAGATAATTTCAAGGAAGGCTTTCCTGTCATTTCTTTTTTTCTTTTCTGTAGAAACATCTGAGAGTGATGTTCAGGCAGTGCTAATCGATTGCAGCAGTGTGATATTTGTTGATGTTGCTGGAGCAAGACTCTTCACACAGGTTAGTCTGCTAAAGCAAGACATAATGCTTTATACTTCTCAATATAGAGCTATCTATATTTTTTGTGCATTGTGTCAATGGAAATGATTGCTTTTGTTTTTTTTGCAGATGTGTACTGAATGCCAGAAAGTTGGAGTTCATGTATATTTGGCAAACTGCAATGGTAAGGCCTATGTATCCGAATGACTTATTTCCTGATGGCTTGTTCTGTTATATTCTCTGTTTATACTACATAGAGAGGTTTGTTCAATTTTCATAAAGTAGGATGATACATACTTATTACATTTGTTAAAATTCCCTTGTGAATATTAATCAATGACTTTTATCCCCTTAGAGAGTGTCTTAAAGATCCTCACATCAAGTGGTCTAATGAACTACATGAAGCCTCAACATATTTTTGTCACTGTTCATGATGCCGTGATGTATATTCAACAGCAGAAGGTAAGCTGGAAAGCAGAAATTTTCACAGATATGGAAATGTCTTGGATTCCTAATTGACTGTCGTAAACAAATGATGATACTGCTGTTGCCTTCCGTAGGAAAAACCTCCAGAGCACACCACAACTGTTTGGGTATGAGACAGGAAGGCAGTAATGAGTGATGCCATCTAAAATGGGACTAAATGGCAGAGGGCATTACTGTTTTATAAGTAGAGACAATGTCTCTCAGCTATATTGTAGCACTCCAGCATTTGGTCCAGACTGTACTGTATACCATTGTTTCAAATAAACTGTAGCCTGTTGTAGCACTATGTCATATATTATAGTTATTATTAAATTACAGTGTTACCAGTTTTCCCACAGATATTGGACACTCTTTAATCTGATAATATTAAATAGTCACAAATTCAGAGGGGTTTAAATCCAGCAGATAGAATCACTCCACATCAGACAATCTCATCAAATATTCTGTGTAAACAAATGAGAAAAACAAATATGTTATGTTATGTGAATATAAAACTGTGACAGATATGAATTATTTTGTTTTACAGTTGTTCTGTTCTTTATTGCCAGATATGCTGGAATATTAGCATAGTAATATTTATTTAGTTTCTGTTGCAATACAGATACATATAAAGTGCACTGAATAGTTTGTCAACATACTTTGTATATATATATTTTGAAATATGTGCTTGAATATGCAGATATGTACAGTAATGCCATCCCATACTTTCTTTTATCTCCAGAAAGACTGCACAAAATATTTTATGAATGACTTTGTATTTGTCAGCAACTGTGCCATCCTGTGGCTGTTTTGACAATAAATATGTCTCCAAAAACAGAACTTCTTAGTGAATCATACATAAATTTAATAAATGTCAGTGACAATTGTGTCATAGGTATCTACATCAATACTTGGGTTACTGTGGTTATTAAGTATGAATACATTTTAGGGGGAAACACAGTGTGGAATGTGAAGCACGCCACTTTGTCAGATTTTGAAAACAGAAGAAGAGCGGTCTTTGTATTTGGTGAGGTACAGTAGGCCTATGTGTCTGCACTGAGATGATTAAAAAAAGTAAAAAAAATACATGATTCAAATGACAACAAAGACAAAGGAAATTATTGCCACAGCAAGGATACAAATTAGGGAAAGTAAGGACATCGGTCATCAGTCCAGATAAATTCAGATTTATTCAAAAAGTAAATTAATGTATATTTTGATATCAGGAAACACCTTGAAATGCATAAATCTACTACTACATTTTTGATTCAGTGCATCTGTCACTTTTTACAGAAAGAAAGTTTGCACATCACAAAAGCCTGACTAAACCTGCTGTCATAAGATATTTAAAATGTGTTTTTACCAGAGGTTGTAAATGCCATTACATTAATTGAAAGAGATGTCTTACCTTACCACCATGCTGCCCTCTGCTGTTTAACAGTTAAAGGGTTTCCTCCAACTGCTCATCAAAATCCCTTTACCTTGACCTGATAAAACTATATGAAGTGTGAGTTCAAAACCAGGACAAAAAAGAAAAAAAAAAATAAACTAATTATTTCCTTGCTTGATGTTGGATAGCCAAGTTATTAATTTTTTCCAGTGCATATTTCAAAGAGGCCTCTAGACACTGTACCCTTTGGGTTTTTGAGCTAAAGGAGTGTTTCACTAATTGGCAAGAAGTAGTCCACTTCAATTAGAACATGGTACACAAGGCACTGGCCAAATGTTTACTAAGCCAGATTCTACCGGCAGACCTACTAACACGCACACACACACACACACACACACACACACACACACACACAGTTGTGTTTCCAACACTTTAGAGGACATTACATTAATTCCCTGAAGAATTATCCTAACCATAACCACTATTTGTTTAAACCTAAACCTACCCCTAGCCTTACACCCAGTTTTCACCCTAAAATGTGATGATTTACATTATAGGGACCTGCATTTTGTCCCTATAAAGTAGGTGAGTCCCCAAAATGTGACTGTGTAAACTGACCCCACAACATAGGGTAGTAATACCCACTCACACACAGGTACATATTCAAAAGGTAACCCTGCAAACTCCTCAGAAGGTCAGTGATTTAATGACAAAGCTATGATTTACCTATTATTAAAAAGTGCTTGCAGGTAATGTGTACAGCATACAGTGTTATGTTAGTGACCACACATTGCCAAATGAAGTTAAACAAAAATGAAAAACAGTGGATTACAGTGGAATAATAAGAAACATCAAGTACTTAGCTTTCATTTCAAATTAATGCAATTTGTTAAGAAATAGCAAAACAGCAAGCATTGAAATGTATCTGAAAATACACACATCCAATCCATCTAATCCTACCAAGACGCTCATTATAACTATGAAATTATACTACTACTACTGATACTGCTAATATTTCTACTTCTAATAATGATAATGTACAGTTCTATAGTTCAACATGTGTAGCATTTTTCTCTGATCTTTTGTTTCCATCTTGTGGTGAAATGTTGGAATGACAGTCTCTCAGCAGTTTCTCAGCTGTCACCACACTAACAAAAACCACCTTATTCTCTTTGTTGGAAACAAACACATTCACACATCATGCCATCAGACAGATGTTTTAATAGCTGAACCCCAGTGGTAGAAGAAGTACTCAGATCCTTTATTTAGAAAATGCGATGATGGTGGACAATTGATGTATTCAACACAGAACTGATGCCCTCTGCTACACAACCTGCAAATGGCCTCTGACTCCTAAACAAGCTCTGGGAGGCCTCTTTCCCCAAACATCCTGTCTCTACTTTCTTCTGAGCAAAAATAAACCATACCAGGACTCAAAGGATGACATTAAGGGAAGTTAAGTGACCATTGTCCCATTTTACGATGACCTAAACAAGTCTGATAACTCTGAGAGGATCACAAAAAGTGAAGTGACAATGGGCCAATTTATGACTATAAAACTCACTCATCTATTCTCAGGAAGACATCTGGACTTCATCAATAACCCACACAACATACAGGGAGTCAAATGTACAATAATTTATATAGCCACCATGTTTAATTAGTGTCAATTCTAAGTGTATGCGGTGGTGCAGTGGTTTGAACTGTCGCCTCACAGCAAGAAGGTGGTGGGTTCCAACCCTGGTAGCCCCAGCCTTTCTGTGTGGAGTTTGCATGTTGTCCGCTTGGGTTCTCTCCGGGTACTCCGGCTTCCTCCCACCATCCAAAGACATGCAGGCTAGGTTAATTGGTGTCTCTAAAAATTGTCCTTAGGTGTGAATGTGTGTGGTTGTTTGTCTATGTGTGGCCCTGCGATGTACCCCGCCTTTCACCTGATGTCAGCTGGGATTGGCTCCCCCTGCGACCCTGTACACAGGATAAGCAGTTGACAATGGATGGATCTAAGTGTATCCACTTCTTGTTTACACTGGTCCTCAATCATTTGTCATTCAAGGCTGTATTTATTTTCTTTTGGCTGATCAATAGACAGGGCTTAGTGTAAAATTGAGCTTAATTTTAAGTAGACTGTACATTAAAGGTGGGGAATGCTAATTAAATTACTGCTGCTTTAACATATTGGTTATTTACTACATATTGGCATTGCAGGCTGTCATTTGGCTATATAGGATATTCGCAACATTTACTTAGCCTATGTAAAAGTACCATAATGCAAAAGTTTTATTTTTACCATGACTCCTTAAAATTATAGTCAAAGCAGTGAAGCCTCTGTCAGGATATTAACAAGAAGTAACATGATATCTTATTTGCATAGGCAAATCCACGCACAATCACATGAATAGGGACAAAGCACTCTTAACATTCATTTCCTGAAGACTTAGCCTAACCCTTATGTGTCTATGGTTCCAAATGTAATGCTTACCAACTGATAGCACTTATTAAAACATAGGCCAACAGCCAACTGCCTCAAGGGCATTTGCCTTGGCACTTACAGAGATTGATTATCCCTTTATGTAGGTGTGTGGGGAGACATACAAATCTTTGAATATTTTGATTAGGCATGTGAACACAGAGATGCCTCAGCACTTATGTGATAATTTACATTTTTTATGTATGTGTGTAAGGATGTGTATTGACACATTGTTTTGCAAATAATTTGTTATAATATTTCTGCATATAAGCATGTTTTTAGAGTCCTAAGGTGTACCTCCAGACTGCATGGGTCACTGTTGCCCACCTTTGAGATGGATATGTTGCAGGATGGATTTTACTGTTGAGCATATCTATACCAGAAGATTATTAAATGGAGTAGGGGCAGTGACAACATTATGCAGATCTGTTGCCAGTGCTCTGGACTTGTGGAATTATAGCAATCTAAGAACCATTTGAATCGTAACCCAACCCTAACCACATACACACCAAAGGCCATGATTGTTGTTTTAAATACTTGATTTACCATTGATACCAGGCAGTTAAAAGTCAAACAAAAACCTTATATTGATAACTGCTTTTGCTGTTGTTGACAGTCATTGATAGAGAGCTTTTTAACAGCAGACACTTTGAACCTTGGAAAGGACAGGTGTAATGATTAACCTGGATGGTGGGGCAGCTGATTAGGTATGAAATGAGGAAGGTCTGGAAAAAGTAATTACAACCACCAACAAATACTGAAATTAACAGGTTGAGCTAGAGATACAAAGGAAATGGAGAATAGGGGGAATGATAAAATGATATATGAACTATAATTTACATTATACATTTCTATATTTACTTTTTTAATATTACTTTGAAAATATGACACATGTTTTCACATTTCATCTATCTTTCTGTGTCTTTATCTTTTTAAAGTCACAGTACATAAAAAATCCACATAGTGCATTTAACAACAAATAAAAAAACAATGAAAAACATGATATTTTGAGTGCATACTGTTGGAGATCAATACTGTGTGTGGACGTATATATCTGATAGAGAAAATAGGATCCGTCAGTTTTTCTATCTATCCCAAAGAATTATCTGTTTATAGAACAAATCTGTCCACACAGCAAGCACTAAAGGCACTAAACATTTTCTGAAGTCTTCACTAAGTGTTTAATCAATGACAAGGACAATTTGAGGTCGACCACCATCCAGTGACTTGCCTGTGGGTCGCCTTTCAGCACACTGACAAATATGGAGAAGTGTGTCCTGCAGGCTGTAAACTTGGGAGCGCAATACTTCTTCTCCAAGCAGTAAATGTAAATCTCTTCTAATTGTAGCACCTGCCTTCAGATGAGGTGTCCCTGTGAATCAGTATCTAATGGCGTCCAATGTGTTAAACCAACAAAAATTCAGTTGTTGTATCTTTCTATGTCCAGAGTACAATGGGTGGGGCGACCTTGTATTGTCAAGGGCTTTTTGTATAGTTTTGGTCCCCACGGTTCACTGACTGGTCATGCACTTGAACCTGTTCTTGAAGTACAAGTTTTCCTTATGAATGTTAGCATCACCACTGGAAAGTTTATAGCGGAATTTGTTGTAGGCCTTTTGGGAGTCCGTTTCACTCCAGGGTAGTTTGATCTTTGATGCATGGCTTACAATGATGTCACTACAGGAGCCAATGTGGAGGGAGCCCAGAGCGTCAATGAAGAACTCTGCAGTGTCAAAAGAAAATTTTGTTTTGAAAAATCCTAGCTTGTATTTTCCCTGGATTTCTGTTTTTAACATTTTTCAAATCTTGGGCAACTCAACAGCAACAAAAGCTGTACTGCATTGATAAAATATCTAATATGAACTGCTTTATTAATATGTTTGATAGCAGATATTACAGATAAACTCACCCAGATGACCCTGCCGTGCCAGGCGGGGGTTAAAGCCCACCTGTTGCACCTTGTCTGTCCTCCCCATGAAGAAGTTGATGACGCCATCAGCTACTACACAATTAGGAAATCCGTCAATAACATGGTAGTAGCCAGGTCTTATATGTAAACAGTCGCCTTCTTCTCCACCTTCTTCCACTGAAATGGTGTGACGGAACGTTGCAGTGTAACCTGTCACCTCTCTCACTGCACCGCCAACCTGAAGTCATTAAGAAACAACAAATAACTAATACACTTATAAACACAAGAAAATGAGTAGATAGACATACACAAAGTGGAGTTCCACATTGCATTACACTAACACAGACGGGGAAAAAAGAAAACAGAAGCAGCCTGACACTGAGAATATGAATGTTTTCAACACATCCTTCCTTCTTCTTTTGAAATATCGTGGTATTTTACTGTAAAAAGTAAAGTTTGGTCACGTCTGTTTCCTCAACTCTATATCCAATTCCAAAACCCACCAGTGTAGTACCAATGTAAAACCTGAAATGCTTCAGTTTTCTCAAAGTGTCTGTATTTGACACCCTGGGATGAGACCAGGCTCTTTAGTAACATGTATCTTAAACCATTATTCTATCTGGAACAAAGCACCAATAAAAGCCAGAAACCCTCATCCAAGATCTCTGCATATACACGGCAGTATACACGACGCACTGCTTAATGACAACTGTCACTCTGATTTCAGTCTGATACCAATTCTTAGTAAACTGCTGGAAAACATGGTCTGTGAACAAATACAGAGTTTTCTTAAAACAATTTAACTACTAATTTACAGCGTGCCGATCACAAAGGGCACTCAACTGGAAGAGCATTAACACAGATGGCAGATGATTGCCTTAAATATATTGACAATAATAACTACTGAACTTAAAATGTTTCAATTACAGTTATTTGTCTAATGGAAAACGATACGTATTTTATAGAATTTAGTTTTTCAAATGGGAAAGAGTTACAATGTGTACCACAAGCAAGCTGTGTGTGGCCTATTCTCTATCTTCATTAATGACCTCTTGTTTTAAATTAAGGAACAGCAGTTAAGCATAAGCCACAGTTTAACTTGTCTGTGTAGAAAATTCCTGTGAAACAGGTAGAGGAAACCAAACCAGTATTTTCAGACAGCAGTCGTCAAGAACAGTATAGGAAGAGGTGTGGCAGTACGAGATGTGCTACATTTATACCACAACAATACAACACAAACAGACAGCACAGAGAAAGGACAACACCTGTAAGAGAAGGGGGATGGAAGGTGGGGACAACAGGGAAAAGCTGTGGGAAACACCAATTGCAGAAAGCAACGAAACCTGCAATAGAACAGAGAGGGGGGCTTGGGGAGGAGAAAAACAACAGCAACAACAAACAAACACAAACAAAAACAAACAATAAAAATAATAATAATAGTAAAAGACAACCAGCCGAACAGCAGCAATAAACAGCTGACATATTAAGACAACTAAGAGAACAATGAAAACAAGAAACAGTCACACACACTAAATAAGCAACACAGCACAGCCACAAGAGCTGGAATAATAATGAATTTAAATAAGTAACTGAAAGAAAAGCATCAGGAATAATTCTACCAGGGACAACCTAAATTTGTTTGTCTGTGTGTGTCTGTGTGCGTGTGGGTGAATGTGTCTGTATGTGTGTGTGTACATGTGTGTGCGCATAAGCCTGTTAAAGAATGTAGTTGTTAGTGAGAGTGGGACGCCACGACTGTAACAGGCAGGCAAGAACCCCAGTAGCCAATAGGGGTGGGAGAAAGAAAAAGAATAAATCAAATAAAAAAAAACAAAGACTCCCAGATGCACTGCGATGCAAACGCAGAATACCCCGACCCAAATGCCAGTTGACAACGTAATGCCGACGGAACGCAAAAAGCGTAACCCGCGGAAGAGCAGCGCCCGGACCGACCACGGCGCGCACACAACATAGACCAGCGCCCCCCCCCCCCCCCCCATCCAGCCCCCCCCCCCCCCCCCCCCCCCCCCCCCCATCCAGCCCCCCCCGCGCAGCAAACAACCAAAATGCCCAAATGCCACGCAATCATCAACACCAATGCACAAGTGACGAGCCCAACGCGCGCACTGCGCGAGCACGGCGACACCCAATGCCCAGCAGCCCCCCGCGAATCCCGCGTGCGAGGTCGGGCAAACGAGAGAGAGCAAGCGGAACACGACAGCAAAAGCCAGCGGAGAGAAACACCAGCAGCAAGTCCCAGCTCGGCGCGTTTGCTGCCGTGCTGGGACTTGCTCATCATTGTTATCACTTATCTTGATCATTGTTATTTCTAAAGAGAAGTGAGCAATAATGTGGAAACTTCTCCCCAACTGGCACAAAAAGAAGGAAGTTGTTGATCCTTAAATACAGTCTTTGGGTTTCATTTACAATGGTGCTGGTACCCCACGAGCTACAAAAACATAACATATCCTAAATTAGCAAGCTGGCCTTATAAAAAGACATGACACAAAAGTCAGTGTGTCAGTCAAAAGTCTAGCCACACCACTTATGAGTATGCGGTTCAACTAGTATGCTGACTTTTTTTTTCAACCTTGACCCTATTTCCTCATGAGTGACTAATAGGGAGAAAACATTTTGAAAGTGGTCCAGTATGAGTGAGTGCAGTTCAGCCGGCAGAAGCAAAACCACTGCGTCCACTCAGAAAAGGTCCATGTTGATATTCAGCGAAGTTATTCTTTAAGTGGATTGGGCAGTGTTCTCATCATATTGGGTGAGCAGTGTAAGTTTTTAAAGGCTGAAAAATTAAACGTTCTTAATCCTCTTGAGCATGGGTTTCACTTGCTGAATGTAAATGACAGAGAAGGCAAAAAGCTCTCGCCACATACAAAAACTGAAGACAGCTGTATCACCAGCCTGGTAGAGATCACGTGGGGAAATCATCAAGTAAACCTCAAGCAGTTAAAAAGCTGGTCTCTCTATGAATGTAAGGTAAGGTCCAGTTTATCTATATACTGTATGTAGAACCTTCTAGAGCAACTATAACGACATGATATTGCCATATCAAGTTTTACAAACATTCAAAACACTCAAAAGAAGAGCCAGGACAGCACAAACTCTTTTACCTTGAGTTTTGGCCAAGGGACAAACAGCAAGTCTCTGGGTCATGAGACCCTATTTATCTGCCTGAAAAGCAGGGGAGTTACAGGTTCATGCATTTACACAGGCATCAACACATCAGCTTGCCACACACATTGTATTGCATCTTACCAGATCCAAAGTGGTCTTCTCTAGGATGTCCACCATTTTCTCCAACTTGGTGTTTGCAGTGAAGAAAAAATCATCATCCACCCAGAGCACATACTTAGTGGTCACTTGAGACACTGCCAGGTTTCTTCCTGCAAACCAACCCTGTATAGATAAAGGGGGATCAATGCTCATGAACTGAGATGTTTCATCATCACAATGCATGATACTTCATAGAGATATACACGTCTTTACCTTTCCAAATGGCATGATGTAATGTTCAATGTGAGGACCGGTCACTGGCTGAGGGTGTTCATTATCATCTGCTATCACTATGGTAATGGTGGGATAATATTGCCGTATGCTGTCAATGAGATCTTTGAGTTTGTCATAGCGTAGAAAGGTCTTGGTGGCGATGGTAACAAGAGCACTAATATTGTACTCTATGTAGAAAGAAAAAACACACAACAATTATCCCATGAAGTGACCTTCTGTGACACGCAACGCTTTGCATCCAAATAAAAAATAAAAATATAACTGCCCACAAACCTTTTTGGTATCTAGAGTTGTAAAGTGCTGGAATGGTTCCATGTCCAACTTTAATGGTGAAAAATGACTGGTGACTTTCAGTTGCAAATTGAACTGCAGAACAAAAACAACAACTGTGTAAATATAGATTTTAGTTTTAAGGGGAGGAAATTAATTGTTTTTTTCAGACACCACTGAGCCACTTTCATGCACCAACTCTGAGCCCAAAAGATTTGCGCAGACACAGACTTCAAATATGTTGGGAATTACACAGCACTTCCTGTTCAAAATTTAGAGAAAGATTTTCCCATGAATCAGTTTCTGTCCACTCCTCTTCTTTCCTGTTTTTTCCACCCAGTTTGGTCTTTTACTTAAAATAAAAAATGCCAGACAGATCTAGTGGGGCTGGGCTTTTTGTGCTCTCTGTAATGTTTATGGACATTATGGAAAAGCAGAAAAAAGCTTGACATTTAGATGTTCTCTTTTGTGCAGAGGTAGCCTATGATCTGTATCGCTAGAAAGTGGGTTTGTGGTTTCCTCTTTACTCGTGTTACACTTGTAGGCCATTTCAGAGCAAGAGACAGTTGCTGAAAGTGTTGCCAAAAGCTGAGAGTAACTGTTTTAGACACTACCTGCCAGCAAATGTAGTCCAAGAGCCTGTAAATATTAGCATTAAGTCTAGAAAACAGATACTTTTAGCATTTGACAATATTTACATTTACTCATTTGGTAGATGCTTTTATCCAAAGCAACTTACATTTGAGAAACAACACACAAACAAGAGTAAAAGAGAAAAGTAAGAGATCTATGAGTAATAATAGATGTAACAAGTAAGACAAGTAAGAGCTATTAATGCATATGCCATAAATTGGATAGATACCTAGAGGAAGCTATAAGATTTAACAAATAGTGCAATCAAGACAAGCGAGTTGTAAGGAGACAGAAGAAGAAGAGTACAGGAAGTGCTAGAGGTGTCAAGGAGTAAGTGTTCTTGGAAGAGATGAGTTTTCAAGAGTTTCTTGAAGTTAGATGCAGACGCCCCTGCTGTGATGGCAGGTAGTAGCTTGTTCCAACATCGTGTTGTTACACATGAAAAGATGCAGAAGTGAGATTGCCTTGTTGTGTGTCACTCTGTATACAAGCATTAGTGACTTGAATTTCATTTGGGACACAATGCTTAGACGGTGAAGGCCACTGAGTAATGGAGTGACATGAGTCTCTTTAGGTTGACTGAAAACCAGATCTACCACTGTGTTCTAGACCATTTGCAGGGGTTTCACCAGACAAGCTGGTTAAACAACAAGGTTTCTGCTACACCAGCTAACCCATGAACTATATTTTACATAATTAGATCCAACAGACCTTGTTGAGCTGCGGTCAGACTTAAAATAAATACACTATTTTCAAAGCCAGTATGTCAAAATGTATGCAAATAACTGTGCAGCAGGTATATTAGGACAGTGTGTGGATATCTGATATCTTGTCCGCATGACAGGGGTTAGGATCACAGCCAACAGCATATTAGTCATAATATTTGTATCTCATGCAAAAGCTTTGGCATCCCATGTTTTACATTAGCTGTGTTTAAAGTACCTTAGTAGTACCTACTTTTTAAGCAACTAACATGTTTCGTCAGCCCGTTGTTGCCTGCGCATCCACCGCGAAGATTAGGCAACGTAATTTTAGAGTAACTATACATCAATGGTGACACCATATAAAGCAACAGACAGACATCATTATTCCTGCTGGATTTCGTCCTCATCAACAAACGCTCAATAAGGCCTGGACGTGACTGGTCCATCTGTCGTATGCTTTCTTCTGTAACTGCATGTTCATGTGTCAAAGCAGCTGCAGATTGTTCAAATACTTGCTGCGAATACTTGACCAATCAGAAATGTTCAGCACTTCATGCCCCCACCCCCAAATTGGTGTTCTCAAAAAATAATTATGAGATTGAATCTGAATGCAGTATATTTCACAGATCAGATTTACATGTATTAAATAATTAAAATAATCTTCACCAGTTCACCTGTATCACCAGTGAGCCTTAGGATGAAACTCTATAAGGATGAATAAGTAAACATGACATTCAACTTTTAGCATTGCGATAATATCCACATGCTAACTTCACCTGTATCTGCTGTCTTGGGATGGAACACAGTGTTTGTATAGGTGACGAACTGCAGCTGCCTGTTCAGAGCAGAGAGAAGGGGACCTGACAGTCTCATGTGCTTCGCCCCTTCCCCTTTAACAGAGACCTTGTCCACTGTAGCAGCAACATCAAAAGTCCCCAGTGTTGCTGTCAAAGATACCTGCATTTGCATGGTTTTGAGGAAAAAGGAACCAAAAGTCTAAAACATTTATGCAAACAACGGTTATGTCAACCACAATGAAAAATCCAGAAATTACCATGTGGTTTGATCTTGCTTCTTCTTTAAGACCCAAACCTAAAGAAAGAAAGCAATTATTCCTGAGGATATCAACATGGGATGATGGTGAAGCATTTTACTTACTTACAGACTTAAAACAACATTATGTAGTATTTTTATCTTAATATAACAGCTTCAAAATCCTTTTGATGATACACTGACTTATAATAGGGGAAATAATGTCACTATCATTGCCTCTCGGGACTGGGGGAGCTTTCTATGGTGTTATGTAAGATAGAAATCCCAGGATTTCTATCACAAGAATGGCATAATGCCTTACGGCACCACAACTCTTTGGCAAAAAAGCTATAGGAAGAAGCAGAAAGTATAGAATGTACAATGTAAGTTCTTTGGAAGAAACTAGCTCGGTATTCTCAGTATGGATATCATAGCAGAGAGTGGCACTCGGTCACTCTCTTTCTCTTCTTAGCTTCGACCGTCACGCCAGACAAGAGTGCCTCTTTGCTCTCTTCACCCCTGCCATTAGCTAAGATTATGTCCATAGTGGGCGAGCAGGCGACATACACTGCAAAAACTAAAATCTTGGTAAGATTAATTGTCTTAATTGAAGGCAAAATATACTTGTTTTTTGTCCAATAAGATATTTCTTCTTACCAGGCAGTTTTATGTTAGAGAATTTCACCTGTTTCAAGTTTTTTTGTCCTTAAGTAGCAAGTGAAGTATTCTTGTTCTGTTGGCAGATAATTTTGCTCATTTTAAGTAATATTTCCCCCATTTTAATGCTTTTTTTTCTTGTTTTTGAGAGCTCAGTTTTTGCAGTGTAATCAGGCTCAGCAGTCTCTATGGAGGCAAAAAGACCGCAGAGGACGTTGATGGAGGAAGCTACGAAGAGAAAAAGAGAATGACCAAGCAAATGTCGTGGATAAGAGCTTTATGTTATAAAAGGCTGGAAGACTTTCAGTGTACACAGTTGGACTAGCAATTAATGCTGCTATTGTCACAACCACCCTGCCGTGACACCTGCCCTGTGACAGCTGGTGTGGGAGAAAATGTGGTTTGTTTTCTTACTAGTCTGTCGTTTTGTGTTTTCTCTCTCTCTCTCTGTTTCCTTTCACCAGTGTAGCCTGTGGGCATAAACCTGCTCTACAGTTTTGGCACCATCTTCACCTGCTTGCTATCACCAGTCACACACCTGAACATGATGCCAATGTACAAGACTAAAGGAGGATAAACCAGAATTCCAGTCCCTGCTCAATCATTATGTCTTAGCATTGTACTCTAGCTCTGAACTTTTTCCTTATTGTATTTTGCTCATCTGTTGTTTTCTCTGTTGCCTGCTTACCCTCCTAAACTGCCATCTCCCTGTCTCCAGGAATCACGATATAACCCTTCATTGGACCAGCCTGCTTGCTCAACGGATCTAGCCCCACGTTCCAGCCACACTCTCCACCTGTGTCGACCTGTATTCACACCCTTACCCATCTCCTTGGCTGATCCTGCTATGTTTCCAGTCTGCTTCAGGGTTCCAACCTAAGTTCTGACAGCTATGTCTTGTGTTCTCGCACTTGCTTGATATTTGGCTGTGTTAGCTAAGTTGCTTGTTTTTGAAATGCACGTGTACAGCTGTACTTATTTACAACAGCTGTGAATTACTCTCTGAAACTGAAAATCCTCATCTTACATAAAGCTTGCTTTAAAAAAACAAATGCAGGCCAAAACGTAGGTGAAGACGTAATGTTAAAGCTGTTTCTTTGATATTGTGTGCTGTGTCATAGTAGATATGCTGTTACCAGGAATGATGATTGTTTTGAGGGGTCGCACCTCCACGCCCTGGGTGGGATACTGAAGAGGATTGTTGGCTTCAGTTACAATAAGCTCATCTGCAGGATTGTAGGACCTTTAGATACAGAACAGAAAGTAAAGTACCTACATTATTTCATCACTGTGCAATAAACACCATATTCCTATTTGTTTACTTTTTATATCAGGAATTGCTCAGTTAACCACATAATGTACACAGAGAAGACAGATTGAGAATTTGCTGTATGGATCTAGCCTTCAGGATGTTCCCTGGTGTTACAATACAATGTGACAAAATTAGAAAAACAAATCAAGATATACTACATTAAAGAGTACATCCAGTTACATTTAAGTTAGTACTATATCCTATGACCTGTATGACTGACAATAACTTCTGAAATAATTTGTCGGTTAATTATTTAGTCTTTTGACAGAAAGTTTATAGACAACAAGTTTGGTGAGTGAATCATAAGATGTCAATATTTAAAATTGAATATCTTTGGGTTTTGGACTGCTGGTCAGAGAAAACAAGCAATCTGGAGATATTTTCTTGGGCTCTGGGAAATTGTGGCAATCTTTCACTATATTCTCTCTATTTACAGTTATTATTAGCTCCACTAATACGGAGAATCTTCATAGACATGCAGTACACAGGTTTACATGCACCCATGCATCTCTCTGTTTTCCTTCGCCTGTGAGCGTAAACCTGTTCTGGCACCATCCTCACCTTCTATCTGTCAGCAATCACATACCTGACCTTTTGCTCATCTGTTGTTTTCTCTGTTGCATGCTTGCCCTCCTAAACTGCCATCTCCCTGTATCCAGGAATCACCATATAACCCTTCATTGGACCAGCCTGCCTGCTCACTGGTTCTAGCCCCATGCTCCAGCCACACTCTCCGGCCTGCCCTGCGACCTTGTCCACCTGTATTCACGCCCTTAACCCCTCCCTCCACTCATCTGCCTATTTGAGCTTGCTAAGACTGTATTCACGATAAATCTCCTTGGCCGATCCTGCTATGTTTCCAGTTTGCTTCTGGGTTCCAATCTTAGTTCTGACAGCTATGTTTTGGTGTCATGTGCATGTAATGCAAAATCCATCGACCCAATAGATTCCTGAGGCTACAGGACAGCTGTTTTCAAGTAGTATGGAAAAGCCGGCCTGTTGATTTGACCTTTGCACTTCATCAGACTAGTAAGGATGCTGATTGGCTGCAGTGAGTGCAAGGACAATGGTATGCTAATGTCTGATAAGAAGAAGTAATTTCCATATCTAGTGAATGCTAACTCCGCCGGGTTTATACTGCACGTGCTATTTCCTCTCCACCAGTTTCTGCAACAGCATGTGAGTAAATGGGTCCCCATATGTAAAAATATAATTAGAAACTTGTTCAAACTGAACTGTCTTTTCTCAACAGAACTGTAGCTGGGTACATTGGATTTCTCTAATCCTCTTACTTGAATATGGAAATCTGGTTATTCTGTTTGCATGATGTTAAAGATATCTGTTCACCATAGAAAGCTGACAGCAACCAGGTTACCTACGTGCATGCACTGCCTTTACTTAATAACTACATTGCAGTGAGCATTGCATATAACCCCTCAGTGTAAATTTACATAGAAATATAGACCACCAACACTGTTAGAAGAGGTTGAAGGACAATAACAACAACAACAGCAAAGCACATGTCAGTGTACAGCCAGAATGTGAGGAAGGTCTTAAAATAGACAGCACAGTTACCGTGTTGAGATGTTGCAATGATAGAAGGGTGCAATGATAGTCATGACGTGTCACCAAATGAAATTTACCTCCTCTGAAAGCTGCTGTACTCCATAGCTCTGTGACGCTTTATGCCCTCAGGATCAGGATGGGACTCTAGGAAGGCATTACTGAGGTTTTGGGCCCACACACGTGGAAAGAGCAGATTGGATAGCGGCAGCTGAAATGTGTCCTTATCAGCCAGACATACACATGTATTTTGAGCCAAACGACTGTGTCAGAAAAGAAATGGTATTGAGTTGATAATATAAAAATGACAATTCAGAATATAATTTAGACACAAAAAAATCCATACATGCTGACTAATCACACACCATGCCACCTCCTCCTTTATGTGGTAGGGAATGTCACGATAGCCACTGATGGTGTCTCCAATTTTCCCATCAAGGAGTTTCTTTAATGGACTATCCTGTCTTGGCCGGATGTCAACTACTGAGCTGGTTCCAGGGCTGCTAGCATAAAACAGAGCTAGCAGCAGTAGCACACTGATCAAAATCAGTGAAAGACACTTCTTATAGGTGGTACGCATCTAGAATGAAGAATAAAGCGAATGTCAAAACGTAAGCAGTATAAGGACAACAAAGGGGCGTAGCAATTGTGGGCTCAGGGCTCTACAGTGCATTTCACTTATATTTCACACATATGCCCCTAAAAATAGATATGCGTCAACCAAAAAATTATTTATGAGAACAGTGTATAAAGACTACAACCTACCTTAATCCTACACGTTCCCCTTGTGCTGTTTTACATCTGTTTTACTACTGTTATTGTTATAAATACTGATCAGCAAATCTTGTTTACATAATGTGTGGTGTGGTTTGTGTGTGGTGTTGCTCGTACATTGTGTATCCATCCCTGGTACAAAAACTACAAGTCCCACATTCCACAAGCCGCAATGTGCCAATCACAGTAGAGTTTTCTTTGATGACTGTTTTTACTCAGTTGCAAATTGGCTTTAGATGCAGACAGCAGTTGTCTATCGCAAATTCCTGTGTTCTACCGCTCTAACGTTATCCATCACTCAATTAATTCTTTTGAGCTTTGTTCCCTCCTGGCCTATCTGAATTGTGTTAAGTTTTGCAGTCTCAAAATCAATGTATAGTAAATGTTAAGTTGAAGGTGCTTTGGGTAGTTTTTAGTGATATTGGTAAGGTTTCAGACTGCAACCAACAGAATTACCCATCCCATATTTATGCCTGAAAATAAATTACAATAATGTCAGGTATCTAGCAACTGGTTGTTGTTATCAGGCAAGCTATTATCTAATTTGAACCAACTAAAACACAAAATCCCACTGTATTTCACATGATTTTAAGTAATGTTGCATGCGTAATTGTCATAGCCTACATAAGCAAATGGATTTTCACGGGAACTCCGACCAGTCCTTCACATAGACAGGCTGTTATAAGCAACTGAGAAATTTGGTGATTACCTAAATTTGACTTCAAATTTTCGTTGTGCAATCTAAAGGCACTGATGATAAAAAATTGGGCAAGCTTTGAGTTTTTTTATTTACTCAATGTCATAGCCTCACCTCCTGCAAAAAAGGAAGTAAGCTCTGAATTACAATCGTCATTTGATTTACCAGACATTTTCTCAGCATACTCCACACTTAATGTACTGGGACATAACATATAATTTACGGGTGTTCTCTAGCGCCACATAGGGGATACAGGAAGTGGTGTTTAAATCCTTCCTGAGGCATCCAAAACGTATGATAATTTAGAGCCGCGTCTCCCTACTTCCAGCCACTGGGTCACTACTTTAATAATAATAATTATTGCTATTACAGAGCATATGTGGCCTATTACTTACTGTAGATTTTCTGTTAGTAGTGTTATTAAATAAGCTATACTGTTTACTCTGTAACCTGATTGTACTCTGTGGATCTTGTAGACCACATGCAATCTCATGATCTTAAACTGGTAAAAGGAACCTCTGCTCCCTCTGTATCTGAAAAACACAACATCTATAAGCAGAAAGTCTAACTAAGTATGTAGTTCAAAATCTATCTATCTATCTTTCTATTTGTGTATGGGTTTTTAATTTTGATTTGTGGGCTTTGCCTTCGTTTTATTTCTTTTAGTGTGGTTTTGCTCTGGTCAGTCTAACCTACAACTCTTCAAGTGAACGGGATGTTACAGTTAACTGTTCTGTAGGCTACTATTCAACATCTCAAGAGCAAGAAAGCTAGTCAACCCCCCAGATAACCATGATTGTCAAAGGGAGTGACTTGTATTCATACTGGACACATTGTAAAAAAATACAGGCTTGGTCATTTATTGCTTTATTCGCAGATGTTGTCACAGCACAGTATGGCTGATTTAGTGTCAAACTAGTTCTTGAAGTCACTGACTGACGTTCACCTTCCGTAGCCTATAGAAAACACGCAATCCCAAACTTTAGCCGTTTAATTCAAAACTCATTGAGTGTCAGATTTTAAAGCAGTGGAAAGTCGGTTAGACATAACCTTCCAAAATACCGAGTGTTCGTACCATGGTTCGCACACGTAGGCCTACTCCAAACGCGTACATTGGTACCTTATATCTGTAAACAGGGGAATGTGACACAACGTGAAAGCTCTTTGAGTGCTCGGAAGACTAGAAAGTCGATATACAAATGTAGACCATTTAGCCCAACATTTTATTTGGGTACCCTAAATATCCTTCAAGAAGATCAAGAAGAAAGCGGCAAAACCACTAACCTATTCCTATTCAAAGTAAACAAAAAGACAAGATGAAGAGAGATGAACATATATCTTACTTTTGTTGCATCCGCGGGGTAAATATTTCCAACCTCTGATCAAATAAGAGAAACTGGTGTGACAGCTTTGACAGCTGTTGTGACCCGGGTTAAGCATGCGTGTGGGATTTGGGTTCGGTAAGTGCACGGCGTAGCCACACCTCTTAGGCTAATATCATTTTATTTACATACCCGGGAAAGGTAAAACTTCATACAGTTTATCAGTTGAAACGCGTGATTTAATGGTGGTGGTTTGTCCCATCAACACATTAGACTTAGCATTAGGCTACATTCTGAAACATGTTTGGAAGCGGTGCGCGCATCACATGCCACCGTGTTTCCATGAAGCTTTCTGGTTGTGGGTGTGGTGTCGAAAGGAGGAGGCATGTTGCTCACCGGAACATAGGTCATCTGCATTAAATCAGACACAATGTATTCAAATCAGAGTAATTTTATGTCGTCAAACATGTTTGGAGGGGATCTTTTGAATAATTGTAGATGTTATAGACAAATTACACAGTGGCTTTAATTTATTAAGGCAAGAAAGACCAGTTCAGATTAACAACTTCAACACAACTCAGCATTTGTGGGTCTGTCAGGTGTCTAATTCCTACATTACATGAATTTTTTTTCATGTACTACAGAAGTGTGGGTTCGGTCAAAAGTCCGTTTAACTTTACCTTCTATTTTCTATGAAATACTGTAACCTGCTCAGCTATTTTGGCAAGTTTGAAGGGTCATGTAGAACCTGTGTGTGTGGAAAAAAAAGGTTTTTATTCACTCATTAAATATTTTCCTATCTTTAGGCTATGTTACTCCGTGCATATCACTTAACAGTCTTTGTGTTCTTCATTGATTGATGTATTGTGTTTAGTGGTTATGCAGCAGCTCAGACAGATGCTTCAAGTTTATGCAGTCTAAGGTTGGGCCTGAAGCTTCAGATGGACGGCGTTGGAAGTAGTACTCAGATCCTTTACTTAAGTAATGTAACAATACCACAGTGTAAAAATACTCTGTTGTAAATGAAAGTCCTGCATTTGATATTCTACTTGAGTAAAAGTTCGCATTACCAGCAAAAAGTACTAGTATCAAAAGTACTCATTAGGTAAAATGGCCCCTTTCAGAGTGTTAAATTATGACACGTTTTAAAAATCTTATGCACAAAAGATACTAATTTGTACACACAAGTTATTTTCGTGTGAGGCAAGATAAAAATTAATAATTTTGGGGGACTTCTGGAGCTCTCCTGTTACATTCGTTCTTGGTACTTGTTGACCTCATGTAAATCCCAGCAGAGCTCCAACATGAGTAATCATCAGCATAACTGAAAACCCATGTGAGGGTATGAGAGGCTTTTAATCTATAAAAAAAATCATATTCAATACGTTGATCATGTGTTTTGAATTAAAAAATCAAAGCAAGTAGTAAAACGTTGGCTACAATATTTCCCGCTGAAGTGTATAGGACAAGAATGATATGGAAACTGGACATAGACTACTTGAGTAAAGTACAAGTACCCCCAAATTATAGGCTAAATACAGTACTTGAGTAAATGTACTTTTTCGACCACTACATATGGATTCATGTGACGCATGTAAGGTGGTGAGGTGTGTAGACTGTTGCCTAAGGCTTGAAGATGTTAATGTTGTAAGCTTTGGTAGGGTGACACCTAGTGGCCGAGATTGAGAGAAACGTCTTTACTTCTCTTTCTTTCTTGTTCTCTCTCAGCATATGTAAATGACACATTTCACTATTAATAAATACACCTTACACAAACTTAAACCATAAGTTAATTGCCGTTCATGCATTTCAGGACGCGAAAAGCGGCTTCCTCTACACGTCACCAGCAGCGAGCCAATGAGAGGCCGCAATTTTCAGAGCTTTAGCCCGTGATGCTGAAGAATGTAAATCTGTAGGCTACGGTGGCTTTCCTCTTACTAATCATCTTATTTGGCGACGCAACATAGGGACGACTTCAATCAAAAGCAATACGTCGGATGAATGTGGCGATATAAGTGACAGGTGCAGCAGGCAATCTTTCGCTGCGTAAGGCGTTGCAAGCATATCGTGCTCACAAATGACTGATCCCCCAGCAGAGGTAAATAACACACATACGGGTGTAGATCTTAAATAAACATATTTTTGCTGACTGGAAATGTAAACACAGCTGCGGCCGTGTATTAATGTTTCAACCGAATTGTATTTGTAGCAGATCTGTATGCCACATGGCCTTGTTTCGCTGTCCTAGCAATCACAGTCGTGAGGGGGGTTGCGTATAAACTGATGTAGTGCCTGGATTAGGGTAACTGGATTGTCGCCTAATTTTATAAATCTCCAGGATAATGAAGGGAAGCATCATACACGGAGAGTACATTTTTGTCATCGTCATGTTAGTCCTTCAGATTTCGGGTCTTTAAACTCATCCGTGAGGCAACAGATCGACTACTTATTTTTGGCAGTGACACAACTAACTCTGTGTCAAGTGTAAAGTCCATGTCCACAAAGTCCTCATGTCAAAATGACGAAGTGCATTCATACGTTACATTAGAGATTAGTGTACATGTATTTAAATCAGCCTGTGTCTTAAACCTATAAATGGAGAAGGCATGAGTGATGATGACATCTAGATAAAATCCTTGAGCTTCTCCACAGTGATTAATGGCACAAAGCATCATTTTACTGGCGAGCTAGTTAGTTCGATTCATCTATTCAAATAACTGTGACTAAGACTCATTGATTTTCAGCTAAGTGAGACAATTGTCTGTGGTTTTAGATTTTATGTCCAAATGTATTGCAATAACGCAGAGATGGAGATAAGGAAGTAAGGCAAAAATTGAGAGATGGATCTAGGTTGCAAAGCTTATAATGTGTTTTAGTCTGGGTCTGTAAAGTGTGTCCAATATGATTTTTAAGCTAACACAATGTACTCAAACCACATCAAAAACAAAGTCTTGTTGTGCGAATGCCATTGGAACTTATTGCCTTTTCTGACACAACGATTTGTAAAAAAAATATAATGCTTGGAGTTCATCTTAAAACCTTTTTATGATTGCATAACATACCTCAATGTGCAATTACATGCAGCCAGCTCAAAATCAAGCATTTATACAAGTAATACAGAGCAATGTCAATGATCACTAGCTAGAGAGAAACTTTAAACACATTTAAAGTTGTCTATCAAGTCTGTCCTGGTGTGCTGTGTTCCCATGCAGACATGCTGTAACTGGGATATCACGGTGCTGGAGACAGTGTCATCATGAAGAGCTCCAGCTCCAGATGGGCCTTCTCTTTGGGCTTTTTGGTGGGGGCCTGCAGCATCTACTTCTTCCTGCGGCAGGTGTGGTTTGAGAGGAGCTACCCCATGCCGTCAGAGGCTCAGGAAAAAGCCACACCATTATGGGAGAGGCCAACCAGCTGGAGGAAGGAGGGAGCTGCTCTCATCAACCTGCTCCACCCTCACCATGCAGGTACTTTACACTGGTCCTCTACAGATACACTCATTTAGTGACAAATAGAGTATTTTCTAGTAATTATTAGTCTCCATATCGCTGTATTATAAGCAATACTATTTTGCTTAAAATTCCATTATGGGCACAAACCTCATATATTTGTGAGTGATTGTGCAGGCAAATATATGTAGGTGAGATAATGGACTGGAAGATAAGTTGGGATGTCTGATAGCTGGTGATAGTGGTGGTGGAGAAGTGGAGAATCATTATGATACACTACATCACAAACTGATATGATGAGCAGATAGGGAGAGGGACACTTGGATTGGTTTGGAAGTAGCCTTGGAGACCAAAAAAAAAACAATGTTTATATAATTGTGTCATGTTTTGGTCCTTTTAACTGTCTTTTGATGTCTTTTTAGTCTGTTGAGTCTTAGTGCCACTGCAGGAAAATTGTGTAAGGTTGTCTGAGTTCTTACTCAACTGTCTTTTTTTTATATATTTTATTTGTCAGGGCCAATGCAGACGAAACACATTGTAACAGGTTACAATAACTTTGGACAAATGTGTTGCATATAGGGTTTCTAGCTTAAGCTAATTTGCAACCCCTGTCCCTGGTTAGGCTACACACATCACCATTACCCAAACCCCCCACAACAATCGGGAAAAAAATAAAATAAATAAGCACCTAGCAAAATGCGGTAGAATGGACAAAAACACGGGAAGAATGTGGAGTAAACTGATTGGATATGGAGAAGCCATGTTCATGTGTGAGGAGTGCCAGGGTAGTGCAGTATTCCTGGTAGAACTACACATACAATAGCTCCACTGCAAACCAGTTAACGTTTCGTATTGCACTGTTTGCTGTACCCCTCTAGGTGAAGACAGCTGGGTGGCAGATATGTTGTACCAGAAGGTGCGTGTTCTCTGTTGGGTGATGACAGGGCCGTATAACCTGCAGACCAGGGCCCGCCATGTCAGGGCCACCTGGAGTCGCCACTGCAACGTGGTGGTGTTCATGAGCTCTGTGGAGGACCCAGACTTCCCCACTGTGGGCCTGGGCACTAAGGAGGGCCGTGACCAGCTCTACTGGAAGACCATTCGAGCTTTCCATTATGTCTACGAGCACCATGCGAATGAAGCAGATTGGTTCTTAAAAGCGGACGATGACACCTACGTGGTGGTGGACAACCTGCGCTGGATTCTGTCCAACCACACCCCTGAAGAGCCCATCTACTTTGGTAAACGTTTCAAGCCTTACACCAAGCAAGGCTACATGAGTGGAGGGGCAGGATATGTGCTCAGCAAAGAGGCCCTCAAGAGATTTGTGGAAGGGTTTCGGACCAAAGTTTGCACACACACCACCCCTGTAGAAGACCTAGCACTGGGGCAGTGTTTGGAGAAGATGGGCGTTCTGGCAGGCGACTCCAGAGATACTTTGCATCGAGAAACTTTCCATCCATTTGTGCCAGAGCACCACCTAACTGGCAAGTTCTCCAAGAGCTTCTGGTACTGGAGCTATTGTTACTACCCAATTGTTGAGGCAAGTCCCTTTACTTTTATTTTACTTGTGAGCTAGTGCTGCAAAATGGTACTACAGTACGAGTTGGTAAAAATGGTAAAAGCAAACAAATATACATGAAACCCATTCAGAATACCTAAGAATGGCGTGTCCAGTAGACTAATGGTTAAGACGCATTTTGTTGCATGTCATACCAACCTCTCTCCCCATATATCTTGTCTATTTCTCCACTGTAAGCTCTAGTAAAAGCAGGTAATAAAAGCTGGTTTATCGGTACCACCTTTAATAAGACAAACATCCTGTTTTTGCTTATTTAGCTTTTGATGCTTTAAGCAAATTGTAGGTGTTAGATAATAACTAAATAAATGAATTTGTGATTATCTGGCACTTTGAAATTCTCTACCTGACCCCTGTATAAAACAAGCGAATTGAAAAATAATAAGTTCATTTTAAAGTAGATGATTGCAGAAGAGACAATGTCCGGTCAACAAAAGGAAAATTGGCCAATTTGTTGCTGATGATGCAACTAATTTATTGTACTTTGCAATTAAAATGAGATGGGTCCATGATCCTGTCACACTTCCTGCCACTGTATGGATCTGCTTTGTTCAATGGGTAAACAAGAAAACAAGTTTCCTTTTAATACTATTATTATTGTATACGTTTTGTTTTTTTAATCAGACTGCAAAATGGAAATGTGATCAAAAACAAAAAAGCCAAAAACAGCAATCACTTGTTACCACCAACAAGTATTTTCTTTGCAGCCAAATCTTGATAGGTTATAGATCTGTGCCATAGACTTCTGTTGTCTAAAAACTGTTAAGATAAATGAGCTGGGTAGCAGCTTTCATCAAGATGAACATGGACACTTGACTCCAACTTACACTTACCGGCCACTTTATTAGGTACAGCTTGCAAGTACCGGATTGGACCCCCCTTTTACCTTCAGACTGCCTTAATTCTTCTTGGCCTAGATTCAACAAGCTGCTGGAAACATTGCTCAGAGATTTTGGTCCAGTTGCTGAAGACATGTCGGCTTTACGTCCATGACGCGAATCTCCAGTTCCACCACATCCATTTGAGTACATTGAACTCATATTGTTGTCATATTCAAGAAGCCGGTTTGAGATGATTTGAGCTTTGTGACATGGTGCCTTATCCTGTTGGAAGTTGCCATTAGAAGATTGGTATACTGTGGTCATAAAGGGATGAACATGGGTTCTAAGGGGCAGAAAGTGTGGCAACGTTTTCATATCTTCTATTGTCCAATTTTGTTCACCTCATGCCAATTGTAGCCTCAGTTTCTTGTGATTTGCTGACAGGAGTGGCTTCCGGTGTGGTCTTCTGCTGCTATAGCCCATCTGCTTGAAGGTTCGATGTGATGTGCATGCAGATATTTTCTCTTGTTCTGACCATCCCGTGTAAACCCTAGAGATGGTTGTGCGTGGAAATCACAGTAGATCAGCAGTTTCCGAAATACTCAGGCCAGCCCGTCTCGCACCAACAACAATGCCACGTTCAAAGTCACTTAAATCACCTTTCTTCCCAATCTGATTCTTGGTTTGAAATTCAGCGAATCATCTTGACCATGTCTACTAGCCTAAATGCATTGAGTTGCTGCCATGTGATTAGCTGATATAGATATTTGCATCAACAAGCAGCTGAACAGGTGTACCTAAAATAAAGTGGCTGGGTCCTGCTGTGCCGTAGCTGAATTAGTCCCCAATAAATTTACTAGTTATTCCTGTTTGAGAAACGTCTGCTAAAAACCTCAGTTCCCAGCTGTTTCAGAAAATTACTTAGCTTTTAAACTTTTATATATATTTGTGAACTGTACAACAGATGTACTGCAGGCCTGGGGCTGGGTGCCACAAAATGGGGGAGGAACAGACTAGCATATTGTTGGTTTCAGTCTATTCGTGGGATTTGTTTGACTTATCCTGTCAAAGAAATGCTAATGAGAAAGTAAAATCACATGAAAGGTGCTACATGTAGCATTTTTATACAATAATACATCTTTTTTTTCATTTGTTTGTTTTACAATGACTTAGTACTAGTAATCACAACAATTTAGACAATTGCTTGGCTCCTCGTGTCAATGGAATAGTACTTTATTTACTCATAATCCTGTTCAAATAATCTATTCAAAATGTTCCTACTTGAAATTCTCCCTTTTCATGTATTAGTTATTTCTCAGTAGTTAATAGTTGTGAGTATTGTAAGGACTATTCACTGTACAAATGAGTAGTCAATTTCTCTTTTGTGATATTAAGCAATGTTCAGGAAATTTGTTCAGGAAAAACTGATTGCAGTGTAGTGGATAATAGAGGCTGCCACATTTGACAATTGGTTTTGTTTTTTTATATGTCTAATAGTTATTCATGCTAAAATGCTACATGTCGCATCTTAAATTTTTAAAAATATTTTAAATTTTATCTTTTTATGAATGTGTGTGCCATACAATGTGCTAACATGTATGTATGTATGTATGTTTGTATTTGTGGTGGGTGTGTTATTCTTCCTCAGGGTCCACAGTGCTGCTCTGACCTGGCAGTGTCCTTCCATTATGTTGAAGCAGAGCTGATGTACACACTGGAGTACTACACCTATCACCTGAGAGCATATGGCTACAGGCCACGCTACCGGCCCTCCCTACGCCAGGGTCTGAGCCACGGCCCACTCTCACAGACTGCCGTGACTGTGAGAATTAAAAGTATTCAGGAGGGCACAGATGTAAGGAGTCACGCTACTCCAGTCTTCTCGGTCAATGAAAACCAAACTGAAGCGGAGACGGAGTCAGAGAAAGAGGGGAAAGACAATCTAAACTCTCGCTTTACTGAGAACAGGACTGCTGTCACACAAGACAGGCATCGCTGATTCTGTGTTTCAGCTGGTGTTGAATGTGCGCAGATGTGCCAGAGAGGTGTATTAGGCTGCACAGTACTTTGGCTGATTAGTGCTTCCTTCTTACAGGGCTTCCTTGATCCAATAACAGTATATTCCATCCAGTATGACACTGTAAATGTAATTTAAATATGATTCAGTGGCAGCTCCATATGGCTTTTGTTACCCTGGATTAATATTTTAGTTTATCTTTATTATGTTAGACATAATCAGTATTTAAATGTATGAATTTGTTACGTTACACAGTCACAGATGTTTGAGCTTGGACTTGATGCAGCAAGAGGCCCATAGCCTATTATTTCAATGTATTTTACAAGTACCTGATCAGAGCCAATAATACAGTACCGGGTGTATGAAAAGATTTTTATCATTCTTAAGTCATTATTTTCAATTTATTTCTTGAAATGGAAAGCAGCAACAAATGGCAGTGTGTGTCACAACTTCAACATAGCTTCTTTTCTATGTGGCCTTTTTGCTATTCTGCATTCTTCATTTGTTACTTTTCTGAAGTTACATTTCAGTTATATAAAACTTAAAAAAAAAAATAAATTACAATAAGATTTTGTCATTTAATTTCCTTTTGGATACTTTGTGGTTAATTACTTAAGACAGACTCGTCCACAGCGAGCAGTAATTCAATGTTTGTTTCAGTAAGAAAAGCTACAACTTTGCTGTGAAAATGTTGAGAGATATGAGATGCTCTGATATAGAAGTGCGTACTTAAAACCCTCTGTGCTTCTGTTTGAGAACACTGTAGCTTCTGAAGAACACAGTATTATATAAAGCCCCGATGAATCCCTCTTTTCATGTCATTTTATATAAACATTGGAACAAGTATGATTGAACATTAGTGTCTGTGCTAGAGCCGAGTTTAAAGAATCACTCAAATGGCTGGAAAATGCACAGATTTTTAAAATGAATAAATTATGTATAAAAATGATGTTTATTTTGAACTTTAAAGAAAAAGAATAACATGATAAAGAAATGTTGTATGTATCAGCTGTTACTTCTAATTAGGTTGTATCATCAGATAAAACAAATACAATCTGTGTAGTTTATGGTCACTTTCGTAAGCCACCTGGCAGGTTTACAATGTGAATCGTTATCATTCAGTCATTTCCATCAGACATCTAGTTCATTGTTGGTGTTCTCTGTGGTCTTCTGTCATTGTTTTGTGATGAGAGCTGCTTCAGTATGTAGTGTCTACAGCCCCTGTAGAAACCTGCAACAAGACACATCATACATGTGTATATAAGTACATGGTTTCATCCTCTATTAGCAGGTTAGTGATGGTCCATCTACTGAGTGAAAAAGAAGAAACACTCACCTCAGCCTGCACTTGTTGAGAAAAATGCCTCTCCTTTCTGGATACTCTCTCCTCCAGGGGCCATTATCTGTGAGAGCAGATATTACAAGATAGTCCCATAAAGATATGCTGCTGTGTGATGAACACCAGAGAAAATCTTAAATCTGAATCTGAATCTCCAATGCCAACAGGGTTATTGTGGATATTTCACTCTTGTGAATTGCCAGACTCACCAGACTCTGAGTTTCTCCTTCCCATGAGACCAACAAAAATGTCATTCATTTCCCCTGATAAGAAGAATGAGAAGCATTTAATTGTGTTTTATGATGATTTCAAAGAATTTAAAGAAAGCAAGTACTTTATATCACTACCAAAGGTCTTACTTTTTTGTGGTGACTGTACAGCGTTTCCATCTAATGTATATAAAATGAAATCAAAAAGGAAAGAAAAGAGAGAACAGATCATAACTAAATTCCCAAATATACGGTAAAATGCACAACACAAAATCTATTGTCATCATGTTGTTTATTTAGTATATTATTATTAACATTAAGATGACTATTATTACAACTATAAACTTAAAATTACTGTAACCAGCGGGCTACGTTTGTCAGTCGAAATGAAGACTCACCGGCACTTCTTCTGCCCATCAGACCCACAAAGCTGTCATAGTCCAAATCGCTGTACCTCTTCAGAATGTTCCTCTTGATGTTGTCCAGACCTGCAGTCTGTTGCAATTATGAGAAGCAAAAAATCAGTTTGTGTTAAAAGATGATCTGAAAATCTGCCTGGTCGGAACGCGCCAGGAAACCTACATCTGAAGTTGATCTGCGCGATCCGGGCTCCTCGCATCTGGACTGGCTGTATCGAAGTTTCATGACGAGGAACAGAGTCACCAGCAGCAAACCTCTCCTCATTTTCTCAGCACCACCTGTGGGAGAATATTTACAGCTATTCTGTTTTGTCATGTCGTTACCTTACAGACAAAAACATCAAGGAACCAATTGTACCTTTTGCTCATGAGCCGCTCCGTAATTGGTGCGTAAAAGCGCGCGGTGTGAGGTTAACAAATATATAGTTCATTAAACTTATTTTTACATCTAATTGGTAAATTACTGTCTTGATCTGTCTTGTCTTTTGTATGCGTAAAGCATACGAGAGCATAAGACAAAAATATGAGGGCAATAATTTCACGTTGTCCCCAAGTTTTCCTCTCCAAAAAGTCATGGTAAATCTTCAACTGACTTATCCAAAACGGAAAAAGACAACTGTCTACAACAGAAGAAATATATAAACATGTTACTTAGGCTTTTCGAAGTATGTTTTCTTTACCTGTTTTCAGTCGAGCAGGTTATTTGGTAAAAGAGTCAGCTGCGTGCGCCCTGGTGCAGGTGAAAGTGGAAACGGATAGATCCTGTAGTGAGATCACTGATAAATGAGGCGTCCAAGCTTTGGGGTAATAAATAATAGCTGGTTACCTGCGTAACGCCAATCAGCAACTGGAGCGTAGGTGGGGTATCAGCTCTTATATCACGTTGTGCTGAAGGCTACTCATTGCTGGTTATGATGCTACTGAGAGCTGCTGCGCCCCCCTACCGAACACGCAGGCAAACTCATCATCATCATGAAAAAAACGTCTTGTCAACGTCATAAGGGCATAGGTTTTCGGACTCATCCCTAAACATATTTGGAAATTTTCTTAAAGATTACATTTCAACCACAGTTGGCAGTAGTTTGAGTTAAAACCTGAAAACCTGACCTGTGTTAAAAATACAGATGTCTCATTTATCCATCTCTTTGCCACCATGCCTTTCCACTCCACTGACCGGTCAACATGGTCACTGTCAAGATCCTAATCTTTTTAGGAAGTAATTATATAGATAGCAGCTGCCTCTGCATGTCACTATAGAATGTGATGTGTGAACGTAGAGGTTACACAGCTGTGTGTTTGTAAATGACTGCCCAATACCCATTCATACAGAAAATGTGGAATGAAAACATATATATGGGCAGGTTTTGGATATTTGATGGGATAAATTAATAAATTAATTTCCCACCATGCTATATTAATTTAAATGAATACAAATACAAATATATATTCGAAAATGTTCAAGAGCATGACTGGATATGTGGTGTGTTTATATTTACTTATAATACAAAATACAATGTGTCAATATTAGCTGTGAACACAAATCAAGAAGTGATTCAGTACAGTCACTGAACAGACAGACAGACTAAAATCCAGATGTGTTGTTTAGACAGACACATCTTCATACAAGTATTGACACAATGAGTAACACATGATTCAGAGGGTCTCTTGAAATTGTTTTCATGGCTGGTCTTAAACGGTTCTGACAGGTGCTGAGATGAAATTCTATAAGCACAGATTTTGTGATTTTTTTTATACAGTTACCGCCAAGCAACAATACATTCAGTTTGTTAGTTAGTTAGTTTGTTTGTTAGCTCTGGCATTGTAGTAAAGATACTTAATCATTTCTCATGACATCAACACAGGCTAGGGGTAACATTTAGTATTCATTTAAATCCTGAAAAAGAACTTTATATGCGTGAACATGTTTTTCCCTACATCATCATCAGCCAAAAACAACTCACATTTAGTGCTCCTATCAAACCCATCATTTTTCTTGCAATTACACAAGCAATTACACTTGTGTTGGTATTGGTGTACACAGTCAGAATGCAAACAAGCATGAATATTTCAGCAAAGTAAAGTCTGAGATCATAACTGTAAAGCAGGCAGGGGGACTACTACAGATATCAATGGCTGTGGCCTCTGGAGACTGAGGCCTGATAGAGGAGGGCATGGCACCAACAAAAAAGCACCAGGCCAGAATCCAAATAGTGCATTTCACAAAAGGTTAACACTACTATGTTTTAATAATGACTTCCCATTTCCATATTTGTCCTGTTCCTGTATGTAGTAGTGTGAGGGTGAGGTGGGAGGATTGCAGCCGTGCAGGGGTTCGGGATGGGAGATCTGACAGAAGTGGGGAAGTCATTAATTGCATGCTTACATTATTGATGAGTGTTTTTTTTTTAACCCCCGTGGTAATCAAAACAGCCCTGTTTTTGGACTAACAGAGAGCACAGGGAAAGAGTGCCAGGGGCTGTTGATCCACAACATGCCATGGCAGGGGAGGTTTCTCATCCGACCGAAAGGCGAATGAATATTGGCTCAGATGTGCTGCAGGGCTGGATGGACGTCCTGCTATACATCACAGGTAGTCACATGCCCTATGCACTGCTGAACAACATGACATGCACCCTCTGCTGTATTGTATTTGGATGTCATTCATTCCCAGTACCTGACTGTTGCGCTCTCACTATGTTTGAGCTCCACTCAGAGCTGCAGACAGCTGCGAAGGTGACTGGACAATATCTCGCCCTGACAAGTCAGCAGGACGTTCACAGTTGGCTTACTAACAGCAGGGAGCCCATGGTGGCTATAGGTGGACCAGAATGAGAGAAAACACATTTTAAAAAACACTGCTCAGCGTCACTCTATGAGAATTTAAAATGAATTCATGTCTCTATGTGTGGAAAATTTGTGTCACACTTATCGGTGTGACCATCAGTCAGTTGGCCACACGAAAGCATTGAAATCTTACTTTGCAATGATTAAATATTGTTCATTGTTCAAAAGATCATTAACGTTGTCTTCATTGTTCTCCTTTTCCTCCAGCCCACTTAATATAATACCTACAAAGTTTTTACTGAAAGTAATGGATTCTGGTGGGCCCCATTTGATCTCTGTTTTTAACAGCTCCCTATCTACTGGTTGTGTCCCTGATTATTTTAATACGGCTTGCGTGAACCCAAACCTGGTTTAGATACCTCCCTCCCACAAAATTTTAGAGCAATTTCAAAACTTTTATTGCAAAGATTCTAGAAAGAATTGTGTCCAAACAATTGCTCACTGTACTGGAAAATAACAAGTTATTTGAAAAGTTTCAGTCTGGTTTCAGGAAGTACCACAGTACTGAGACTGCCCTGCTTAAAGTCACCAATGACCTTTTAATGTCTGCTGATGAAGGCATGTGCTCAGTCCTGGTACTCCTGGACCTTAGCGCTGCTTTTGACACCATTTATCACAACATCATGATAGACAGACTGAGGCACTGGATGGGGATCTCTGGTACTGCCCTAGAATGGTTTTCATCCTACCTGTCAAATAGGAAGTTTTGCGTATCTGTAAACAACTATGTCTCTTCGTTCTGTCCAGTTAAATATGGTGTGCCTCAGGGGTTGGTCTTAGGACCCATTTTGTTTTCCTTGTATCTGCTTCCCCTTGGACATATTATCCATAAACATGGTATTTCTTTTCATATTTATGCTGATGACACACAAATGTACTTGCCCGTCAGATCCACAGATCCTGGAATGCTGAGTTCACTTAACAACTGCCTTTGTGAAGTTAAAAAATAGATGTCAAATAATTTCCTCCAGCTGAACTCAGACAAAACAGAAATCCTGGTCATCGGGTCCCAGCAGATGGCAAAACAAATACTGCCATCTGCTGGTTCCCTAGTAAATCACATTAAGCCTGTTGCAAAGAACCTTGGTGTTTGGTTTGATAGTAATTTAAATTTCGAACAGCACACCACAAAGCTTGTTCAATCATGTTTTTATCAACTTAGAAATATAGCAAAATTTACATGCCTTCATCTCATCACGCCTGGATTATTACAACAGCCTTTTCACTTGTTTAACCCAAAAATCTACTGATCGACTCCAGACTGTCCAGAACTCAGCTGACAGGCTTTTAACCAGAAAAAAGAAATATGACCACATCACCCCTATTTTAGCTTCATTACACTGGCTCCCAGTGTGTTTTAGAATTGACTTTAAAATTTTATTGATCACTTTTAAAGCTCTTCATGGCCTCTCGCCTTGTTATATTTCTGAACTTTTAGTCCCATACGCACCAGCACGTACCTTGAGATCCTCGGGCAGAGGTCTGTTGTCTGTTCCAGAGTCTCGACTGAAAACTAAAGGGGAAAGAGCGTTTGCAGTCAGGGCCCTGCTCTGGAACAGCTTGCCCGAGAAAATCAAGTCGGCTGAGTCAGTGAACTCTTTTAAGTCCCTTCTTAAAACATACTTTTATAGAAGAGCCTTTCCCGATCTTATTTGACTTTATTTTATCCCTTTTATTTTATTCTATTTTACTCATTTTATATTTATCTTAAACGTGTATTTTGGTCTTTTCAATGTTTTCTTGCTTGTATTGTTGTCTTTGCACTTGTTGAAGCACTTTGTAACTTGTTTTTGAAAAGTGCTCTACAAATAAAGATTATTATTATTATATTATTATTATTCAGATGTTTCTCAGATGCTGATGAACGTTTATCAGCATGTGTGTAAAGAGCAGGTTTCCTGAATGTCACCATCTTTGTTCATATCAACTATCCCTTCACCCCTACCTACTTTAACAGTTTAATTAAATCATTTTGCCCGTTGATCCTGCATGCTTGTCCTGCACTCGCTTGTTGAATTAGGCTGAATAAAAAGAGATAACCTTGCTGTGGAACACATATAAAGAGAGACATAGAGAAGGACAATAATTTAAAAAGAATGAGACAGAGGTATATGTATTTTCCGTGTGTCATGTTGTATGTTTCCTTATCTCACATAATTTATTCAACTTTACAACATGGCTAAAACTGAAGGCCACAATAAGTTGACCATGCAAGCCTGAAAACACAGTACGACAGTTCTGCTTGTTTGGAGGTTCGTGGAAGGACATGAGATGACAGACTTATTCCTCTGTGTAGTTGTGTTTCCAGTAGAGGAGATCAGCAGATAGTGCCTGGAGTACAGTCACACTGTTATTCTTCTCCTGTCTCTCTAATTGAGCTGTCAGTCATCCATTTATGCAGGCTTTCATGGCCTGAGAGAGAGAAGTTCCACTCTGGAGTTGAGAGGGGACAGTGACGCGGCAGCCCTTATACTGGAGGGATGTTATGAAAGAATGATTGACCAGAGGCAGACAGAAAAGGAGAGTGCGCAAGGGTGAGAAGAGAGAGTGAGATTGCAAAGATGAGAGAGAAATTGCAGGGTGAAGATTTAGCTATATTTGTATACAGGCTAGGGCTGGATGCACAGCTTGGAATCTCTTGCAAATAAGTCCAAAGGGGATTCTGCATGTGTAAATGCAGTAACAGGATAACAGTACTTCACACACCCAGTGGCGAAGACTAAAATAAGCAGATCTAGATGATTCCAGGCCTCTCCGTGGTAGATCATAAGACACACCTGTCAATAATTGAGTTAATGGGTTCTAATCTAATTGGGGGATTTAACTTAGAGTCCACTTTATACTTCTCCGTGGGGCATGCAAAATGACTTTGATGGATGCAGTTTTTTTATTCCACCCACTCCTCCCTGATCTCTGACTCGTGAAGTCCTGAAGTGTCACTTCCATCTAAATGTTAATTTGAAGGCTGTTTCTTTAAGACTGGCATGGATGCTGATTTGCTTTGAAAGTCTATTTGCATTAGACCACGTTGGGTATGTGAAACTG